AAGTACCAACATGGTATTTTCTATATATTTATTATATATATATATATATATATATAGAATATATGAAAAATTGATGTGGGTACTCAAATGAAAGGTCTCGATGAGTGTTATGTCGGGGTGAGCTTATATCTTTAAAAATGTCAATAGTTCACGAGATACAAGGTCATTTCTTAAGTATATGTATCTAGAGATAGAGCATTTTCGAATGCAGCTTAAATACTTATCACAAATTGACTATTGGTGAAAATGATATTAAACCTTGAAAAGGCACAACTCCAGGCCAAGGATACCAAATTTAACCATAAAAACGCCTTTTATCATATAAATACACTGGTCACAAAATTTTTCTTATTCTCTTAACTTAATAATATAGATTATTAAAAAATTTTTTTCATTTCAAATAATTTTTTATAGAAATAAAAAAAAATTGTCAGCTAACTTTAATATCATAAAAAATCTTACATTCATATCATTTGAATCCAAAGCAACTATTTCATCAGAAAATGTTGTCATCCCTTCAGAATTTTTTTTTGAGTCTTCCTTATTTTTTGATAAATCGAGGGAACCTTTAAACTTCATTTTATTATTTTCTATTATGTGTTTGTTTATTACAAGTCTATTAGATGAATAAAAATTCCTCGCTGTCCCAGAACTGGAAATTATAATTAATATTTAATAATGTCCTAATCATTATCATAATGATTCATAATATTAATCATTAATATAATGTCACTTGTGAAACAATTCAGTTAAAAGTTCTGGTTAATTCTAATCAAAAATAATATTAATTAATCTAGATAATTTGAGACTGAATTTAAACAAATTTTATCAAGCTCAGAAATAATTAATTCAAAATTTTTAAATGTATAATATTAAATAAAACTTACCATAAATTCTTATGTTTAGCTTCTGAGATTTTAGTTTGCTTAGTTTCAATTGAATTTGTTGTGTCATCAGTTTCTATAATCCAAGCCTGCAAATCTCCAGACTCAAGAGTAGCAACCAAGTACAAATGATTACTGTCATCTTCATCAGTATAGTATCCAAACTTGACTTCTCTTATTACATATAATTTATCTGATGATCCATCTGATGGGTTATCAATAAAAAAAGAAATTATTTTTCTTCGGAAATTTATGTAAATAAATATCGCAGAAGCTGTTGCAATCGCGATGTACTTATCTATAAAAAAAAAAAAATCAATTTTTAATTAAATTAAATAAAATTTTTCAAATTTTTTACAAGTCTAATTTTATCTTTTAATTTTTTTTTTTTTTACGGAAATTAATTTTTTCAATTTTATTTATAAGAATTTTTGTAACAAATTATGGCAAAAAAATGACATGTAGAAATTTAAAAAAATTAAAAATTCAATTTTTTTTAAATAATTTTTTGGAACAAATTTGTATGTTAAAAAAATTTGTAATTGTCTGCTAAATTCAATTTTGCAAAAATTTTTAGAATTTTTTTTATTAAAAAAATTGAAGAAAAAAATTTAATTTCCAAAAAACTATAAGTACAATTTTTTAAAAATATTTCTTAGTTTTAATTTAATAAACGAACTTTAGTATTTTATTTTAAGGAGATCCACGTGAAGTAGGGTACTTGGAACTCCTTAATAAAAAAAAATAAATTGAATCAAAAATTAGTTTTAAAAAATTCCACTAGGTGGCTACGGCTCTCATAGTTAGAATTCTAAAATCAGAGTATTTAAGGAGATTTACGCAAAGTAGTCGAATTTTTAAAACTTCTTGAAAATTTGTAAATTCAATCTACGTAGCCTAATAATTAATAAAAAAAAATAAAAAACAGTAAGTTTCCGAGATATTTAATCAAATAATTTGGTTTGAAAATTGTAATTTTTACATGTAAAATGGAGATTCCACCAGCCGTGTATTTGGTTAAGAATTTAATGCAATTAACGATTAAAAAAAAATTTTATTTTCATTGAATTTGATTGAAAAAATAATAAGCTTCCGATTAAAACAATAAAAAAAGTAGTTTTCCGAACGTATTACGGAGATATTTTATATTTTTTATGAAAAATCACTCGGAACTTGCGTTCTTTAAAGTCTTGTATTTGACTTGGCAACACCGCTTGCGCAGTTACTCGGCGCACAAGTAACCGCGGTTTTTTAAATGCTAGAAGATCTTAGTCATTTTAGTTAGACAGTAAACATAAATAAATTTGAAGGTTAGGGAACTCTTGCGGTGTTGTCAAGTGTATACCGGTAATTCAGAGTGCTATATTTTTTATCAGTCAATTAAATGTTAATAATTATGACACTGAAGTTAGCAGACGTCTAAAAATTTTTGATTTTTTTTTTTAATTAAATTACAACTAAAAAGATATTTATAAAAAAATGCACTTATAGTTTTTTAAGTTTTTAACATATGATATTTTTTTTTTCTAATTGTTTAATTGAAATTTTTTCGATAAAAAATTCATAAAAATTTTGAATTGTCAGCTAACTTCATTTTCATTAATAATTATTTAATGAGCAAATTTTTCGGAAATTTCCTCAAAAATGTTATTAATTAATTTTAAAATGCATAACAAAAGTATGTCTACGTAATATTTTTTTATAGACATTCTTTACACTAGGAGGGTACTTGGATCTCCTTAAATAATAAAAATTCTAAAAATTATCATGTTATTACTCACTGCATGCATCAGCGCACACATAATCTCCGCTAGCAAAATGATCCAAATAACCATACAAATTCATTGCAAGTTTTGAGAACGTCAGCCATCTGTAGTAAGACTTCACAATGGCTTCATACGCTTGAGTGCCGTTACCTCGTACTCGAATAGCGTAATAATTGGTTATAGGAAATATGAAGGGTAATCTTGTTTTGATAATTGCTCGCGCGTTGTAATCATATACTTCTCTGAAGCATTTCTTCCTAAAACACTGATGTCTCATTTCATTATCGTCCACTAATTCTTCACACCATATAGGTTTCTCATTGATAGTCATATCTTTCTTCTTGGAGTCTTCTATATCTTCGCACTCAGTAGAACTCATTATTATTAGTAACTCGCCTGAACAACTAAAACAACTAAACAAAAATTAAATTACATTATCGTTTAAATACTTTTACTATTTGTCACCGACAATTAACAAATTGTCAATTGTCGGTGATAAGAATATGACATTAAAGTTAATAGTCACTTGACAATTTTTTAATTGTAATTAACAAATAATTTTTTTCCAAAAAATTATTTTTAAAAAATTACATTTTTTTTTTTTATTAAATTTCTACATGTCATTTTTTTGCCATAATTTTTAAGTTATCAAATATCGGCTAAGTTAATTTTCATTTTAAAAAATTCCACTTTTTTTTTTTTTTAAGGAGATCCAAATACCCTCCTAGTGTAAAGAATGTTTATGAAAAAATAATACGTAGAAATACTTTTGTTATGCATCTTAAAATTAATTTTTAAATTAATTAATAATATTGTTGAGGAAATTTCCGAAAAATTTACTCATTAAATAATTATTAACATTTAATTGACTGATAAAAAATATAGCGCTCTGAATTACCGGTATACACTTGACAACACCGCAAGAGTTCCCTAACCTTCAAATTTATTTATGTTTACTGTCTAACTAAAATGACTAAGATCTTTTAGCATTTAAAAAACCGCGGTTACTTGTGCGCCGAGTAACTGCGCAAGCGGTGTTGCCAAGTCAAATACAAGACTTTAAAGAACGCAAGTTCCGAGTGATTTTTCATAAAAAATATAAAATATCTCCGTAATACGTTCGGAAAGCTACTTTTTTTATTGTTTTAATCTTTAGCTTATTATTTTTTCAATCAAATTCAATGAAAATAAAATTTTTTTTAAATCGTTAATTGCATTAAATTCTTAACCAAATACACGGCTGGTGGAATCTCCATTTTACATGTAAAAATTACAATTTTCAAACCTAATTATTTGATTAAATATCTCGGAAACTTACTGTTTTTTATTTTTTTTTATTAATTATTAGGCTACGTAGATTGAATTTACAAATTTTCAAGAAGTTTTAAAAATTCGACTACTTTGCGTAAATCTCCTTAAATACTCTGATTTTAGAATTCTAACTATGAGAGCCGTAGCCACCTAGTGGAATTTTTTAAAACTAATTTTTGATTGAAAAAACCACGGTTTACTTATGCGATGATTTTTATTACAATAATTTAATTGCTATAAAATTATAAAAAAATTTATGACATTAAAGTTAGTAGCCACTTGACTATTTTTCAATATTAACAAAAAAATTATTTTTAAAAAATTGCAATAATTTTCCCAAATTGCTATCTGTCAATTTTTTTTCTCTTTTTTTTTTTTGCCATAATTTATTTGTAATAAAATTCTTAAAATTATTAAATACAGTTACATTAATTTTCACGAAAAAAAATAACATGTAGAAAATGTAAAAAAAATTAAAAATGCAATTCATTTTTTATTTTTCAAAATACTAAAATAATTGCTAACTTTAATGTCATAAAAAATTCAATTAGAAATAAAAAAAAGTTGCATATATAATTTCCAAAATTTTCTACATAAATATTTAATTAAAATTGTTTTTTATAATAATTTTTTCAGAAAAAAATATAAAAATTATCAAATCTTCTAAGTTAATTTTAATGATAAAAATTGTCACTTACAGAGCGACATTTTGATTCACCGGCGGCCATTTTGTTGAGATTACAGAAGCTCTGTATACATAAACAGCGCGGGAAGAAAAGCGGGAGTAATTCAAATGTGTCCAATTGTAAGATCATTACGCCTACGCGAATAATCTTGATCATGCAGTAATAAAATATAAGAGGGGATGTGTTACGACATTGCATGATCTCTCATACATTAAAAATATGATGCGACAAATGATTGTTGGACTGTCACTGGTTAGTTGGCACGTCGCAATAGCTGATGTACGTTCTTCGCGTACTTAATAATAATAATTTAATAATTAAATAAATTAAAAAAAAAAATAATATTTAAATTTAAATGTAAATAATTTTTATAAAAATTAAGCTTATAAATTAACGCAAAAATAAATTATATTAATTATAATTTTAGTAAAGTGCAGACAGATTGCCTTTAAAGGCGCGTGAGTCAGGCTTTAATATTTAAATATTTAAATATTAATTAGCAATTATCAATTTATAAAACAAATGAAGTCGCTGATGTGGATAATAGTTGAAGAAATAAATTGCCAGAATTTTTCCGTGCAATTTTATTAATAAATTGTTATTATTTAAATGTGGGCATAAAATCTGTCAGTAACTTTTATTTCCGTCTTCTTCGGTTGTTACATATTATATATATATATATATATATATATATATATATATTTTTATAAGTAGACTTCTGACTGTATGACTGCGCCTGTTTGCTATTATTAGTTACCAGTCATCAGACTTTACTCTCTCTTTTGTGTGTTCAAGTGAGAATATAAGTTTTAGATTAACTAATTTTGTTTTAATTATTTTATTTTAGTAGTTAAAATTTTTTTTTTAAACTAATTTAATTTTTTATAATTTTTTGCTTAACTTTTTTAAAGGCGCTGAAGTCGGTTACTAAAATGTTGGATTTTGCTTGCTAAAAGTTTATTAGTTTCGGTGGTTTATTTCTCAGATGCGGGATTTATTAGATAAAAAAAATTTTGCTATTACGGCAGTTAAGTCTAAGCCGACCATTGAAATTTATCGACCACCAGGTAATTATAATTATAATTATAAATTATTTAGTTTTTAATTTTTGCTTTGTTTGTAAACTTCAAAGAAGAAATAACACTTAACAGCAATTAATTTTGCTTCAATTATTTCACATTTTTTGTTTACAAAAAATATTACCTGGTTAAAAACTACTTAATTGTATTTTATAAATTATAAAAAAATGAAATTTACTGAAAATATCTAAAAAAAAATTGTACAATAAATTTCTTAATTAATTAAAACTGATTTTTTGTTTAAAAAAAACCGACAGGTTAAAACTACTTATTAATTTGATGAATTATAAAAAAAATAAATAAATTACGTTTAAAAAAAAAACTTAGTCTGAATTATAAACAAAAAAAATTACAACAATAATAAATCCGTCAACTAAGTAATTAAAATTAATTTTTTGTTTACAAAAAACGATACTAAAATTAGCTGGCAATTTTTTTAATTTTTAGAACAAATCAATTACAATAAAAAATGTTTCTAAAAATTTTCACTAGTAATTTTTTTTAATTTTCATAATATTAAAGTTAGTTGATGTATCTGATTTTTTAATTTGTTTTTTGTTAATTAAATTATAACTGAAAAATATTTAGAAAAAAATTGCCCTCACAACATTTCTAATTTCTATATGTCAATTAAAAAAAAATTTTTTTTGGCCATAATTTATTTATCCGTTAAATTAATTTTTATAAAATTTTTAAAATGCTCTATCTTTAGATAGATGATAAAGAAATGACCTTGTATCTTGTAAAATATTGACATTTTTAAAGATATAAGCTCATCCCGATGTTACACTCATTAAGACCTTTTATTTGAGTACCCACATCAATTTTTCATATATTTTATATATTTATATATTTCACAATTACCATATTAGCTGGCAATTTTTTTAATTTTTAGAACAAATCAATTACAATAAAAAATGTTTCTAAAAATTTTCACTAGTAATTTTTTTTAATTTTCATAATATTAAAGTTAGTTGATGTATCTGATTTTTTAATTTGTTTTTTGTTAATTAAATTATAACTGAAAAATATTTAGAAAAAAATTGCCCTCACAACATTTCTAATTTCTATATGTCAATTAAAAAAAAATTTTTTTTGGCCATAATTTATTTATCCGTTAAATTAATTTTTATAAAATTTTTAAAATGCTCTATCTTTAGATAGATGATAAAGAAATGACCTTGTATCTTGTAAAATATTGACATTTTTAAAGATATAAGCTCATCCCGATGTTACACTCATTAAGACCTTTTATTTGAGTACCCACATCAATTTTTCATATATTTTATATATTTATATATTTCACAATTACCATATATATATAAAATATATAAAAAATGCCATGTGGGTACTCAAATGAAAGGTCTCGATGAGTATAACATCGAAATGAGTTTATATCTTAAAAAATGTCAATAATTAAGAAATGACCTTGTATCTCGTGAACTATTGACATTTTTAAAGATATAAACTCATCCCGATGTTACACTCATCGAGACCTTTTATTTGAGTACCCATATCAATTTTTCATATATTTATATGAATATATAAAAAATATATCAAAAATGCATGTGTGTACTCAAGTGAAAGCTCTTGATGAGTGTAAGGTAGGGATGAGCTTATATCTTCAAAAATGACAATATTTAAGAAAGAACAGTGCAATTCAACAAAGCAAAATTTCAATTTTTTATAGTTCACAAGTCACGGCAGTCACATAGTGACTGCAAGGTTGCTAGTTTTCATTAATTTTCACATGTGAAATTTTTTTATTAAATTTTTTTTCATAATAATTCAATTGTAAAAAAATTTCTAATACCTTTTAACTTTATTAAAATTAATAAAATTTGATTTTTTTAAAATAATTTCTCCGAATAAATTTGTTAGTTGACTAAAATTAATAAATTGTCAAGTGACTGCTAACTTTAATGTTATTTTTTTATGAAATTTGATTTAATAAATATTCGATAATTTAAAGAATTTTTTTAACAAATAAATTATGGCAAAAAAAAAATTGACGTAGAAATTAAAAATTCAATTTTTCAACAATAATTTTCCTGAACAAATTTAATTGTTAGTTAAATAAAATTAAAAAATTATCAAGTGACTGCTCACTTTAATTACTTTAATGTCATATTAACTACAGTACCATTGAAAAAAAAATAATCAATGAAAATAATAGACTATAAGCTTGTGATTTTTTAAAAACCAGGAGGAAGAAACGACATCACCACGGCCAACCAACAATTAAACGTACACGCGAAAGAGTTTACAATGAAGCATAACGAGGGGCATCATCACAACATAGCGAACAATAAACCGATGACAAACGATAACAGATCTTACTATCTGCAGCACAGTAAATCAAGCGGGAACATACAGCGTTATTTGTATGCTCAACAGCATCAGCACCAACATCAACATCAGCATCAACATCAACATCCACATCAGCATCCACACCAGCCTCAACAATTTTCTTATCACCCCAGCCACAGCGTCGTTAATTACCACGGCGCTTCGCGGCACTCCCACGCACTTAATACATCAGCTTCTAGCGGCAACATCTTGCATGTGAGTTAATTGAGACATTGATCGGTAATTGATAATTAATTTAATAGGCATTATTCATTCTTGATTTATCATTAATCATCATCGATTTTTTATAACGCCCCAGGCAAATGTCAGTCGGGTTCACTTCAACGTCGAGCCTAAAATAAATCAGAGTGTGAAACCTGGAAAATTGACTAAGTCATTGTCCTTTGTTTCTACTTACGGGCTGAAGAGATCCAAGAGTTTTAATAGCGATGTTCTCGCTCATAAAGCTAATAGCATTTCCGATATTGCGGCCTTAGGAAAATTTCCTGCGGCGATACAAGATGTACTTATCAAAGCAATCGAAGGTATTTATTTTATTATTAATATACTGAAAAAAAATAAGTTAGAAGATATTTAATAATTTTTTTAACAAATAAATTATGGCAAAAAAAATAAGAAAAAAAATTGATTTCAATTTTTTTGGCATAATTTATTTGTTAAAAAAAATTATTAAAATTATCAGATGCCTGCTTAATTAATTTTAATGAAGTTAACAGGTATTAGAAATTCTTTTACAATTTTATAGCAATTAAATTATAATAAAAAAATTTCACATGTGAAAATCAATGAAAATTAAATTATTAGTTATCATTTAAAAATTTTATGAAAATTAATTTAACAGATTATTTAATGATTTTTTTTAACAAATAAATTATGGCAAAAAAAATGAAAAAATAAATTGATGTCAATTTTTTTGCCATAATTTATTTTTTTAAAAAAAAATTATTAAAATTATCAGACGTCTGCTCAATTAATTTTAATGAATTTAACAGGTAAAAGAAATTTTTTTATAATTTTATAGCAGTTTATTAAATTATTATAAAAAAAATTTCTTATGTGAAAATTAAGTTAGCCAACATTTAAAAATTTTATGGAAATTAATTTAACAGATATTTAATAATTGTTAGAATTATTTTAACAAATAAATTATGGCAAAAAAAATGAGAAAAAAAATTGACATGTAGAAATTTTTGAAAATTATAAATGCAATTTTTTAAAACGAATTTTTCAGAAAAGATTTATTTGTTAAATAAAATTGTAAAATTTTCAAGTGTGACTGCAAACTTTAATATCATTAAGTTGAATCAAGAGAAAAATTATTTTCAATTTAATTATCTTGAATCAAATGAACTTACCTAAACCGAGAAAAATTTCTTAGTTTAAAAATCTTTCAACTCAAACCAAGAAGATGAAATTTTTCAAAATTATTTACTTGATTCTTCAATTTTTTTTTGTATACTTACTTTGCACGGTTGTCGAATTACAGATCCAAATGTATTAAATTCACGCTCCTTGATGGAGTTAGTCCGTCATCTTCTGGGAAGAGTCGTCGAACAGCGGAAACACGCGGAACCCGCTGCTAAAATTTGCATTAAAATTGTTGAGAAAGAAGTCAAAGAAACGTTCCTTGAATCTTTGTTGAACACCTGCCAACAATTGTACCAAGATCATGCGCGGTCATTGCACGATCTTTCTATTTGTCATCGGTTTTCGGCTTTTATGACATTCCTCAATGAAATGTACTGCCAGGTGAGTTTTTTGTAGTAGTATTTCTTCAAATCATGGCACTGAAGTTGACAGACATTAGAAATTTTTTTAGAATTTTATAACTGAAGTTATGAAAAAAATTTATGATAGTAAAATTGAGAGACATCTGATAATTTTTAGAAATTTTTTAACTAATAAATTATTGCATAAAAAAATTTATTTAAAAAATTCCATCTTTAGGTGATCTAAAAAATTCAAAGTGCAATTTTTTAAAAATAATTTTTTAGACCTAGTTTATTGTTTAAAAAATTGTCAAGTGTCTGCTAATTTCAGTCATAAAAAAGTAATACAAATTTCTCGTGTAAAATTAAAAAAAGTACCCTAACTATGAAAAAATCATTAATAATAATTAAAAAATAATTAATTTAAAATTATACTTCAGTTGAAGCGAAGACAACTTCAATTAAAAACCCAGCAAGAGGGAGTTCCACCCGGCAGAGTTTTACTAACTCTTCTTTGGAAGTGTTGTCTCGATTGTTTGCAGGCTTCTTTTATCACATCTTTACCTGAAGTAAGTAAAAATGTAATAAATTAAACAAAAAATGATTAATAATTAATTATTAAATTACAAATTTACAGATGGAGTGTCTGTTTTACATTTTAACATGCATCGGTAAGGATCTGGACGTAGAACTGCCAATGCAATTAGAACAATTATTAGCGACTGTACGTGATAGCTTTCTTATTGACAATTCAACGCAACCAGCAATTCGTAAGATCCTATTGCAAATAATAGAACTCCACGCAGCACACTGGCAACTTCCTGCGTCTGCCCTCGTTTATTACTATCCTGGCTCATCGAAATCATAATCTATCATTTTAACACCCTTGACATCCATTTAATTAATTTTATTATTATATATTTATCTATCCTTTCTTTTTTTACTCCGTTATTATTCAATTATTCAAACATCTTATTTTATCTAAAAATTATTAATTATTTTTAGTAAAAATAACAATCAAATTTTTTATTTTGCCAGCATTTATAAAATTACTTGTTTTTAATATAAAAAAAAAAAAAACCAAGGTCATGTGCAGTAACCTTGCAGTAGATCCCATTGATTGTTTTCCTGGAAGATATTTATTATTTATTATTTACTATTATTTTATTTAAACAAAGAAAATGGAAATTAATTTTAATATTCTATTGTAAATAATTATATTAATTTTAAATATGTATCTCTAGTTATAAGTAACAAATGTAATTGATTTAAATGAAAATGAAGTTGCATCAGATGATGATATATGTCCGGATAATTTTTCATTTAAATAAATATTTATCTGTATAAATATTTTACGCAACAAACTCGATCATCTTTAATACATATGTATGTAAGAGAGATTTAAATGATTATTATTTTTCACTGCACGTACTACTGGGGAATTGGGCCGGAATCGTCAGTACCCAGGACCTTGCAACCAATAAACCATGTCCTTGATCTCCTTTGCGCTAATTTAAAACTTCTTTTTTTTTTTTATTTAATTTATTGCTGGTGATTTAATTTCATTTTTGGAACTGCTATACTTATTGAAAAAATTGTTTTATAAGTCGTATTAATTTATTTATTTATAATTAGAAGACTATGTTAGTTCTTAATTAATTTTTAAGCTTGTAATAATTTATAACTAGTAGCAACCTTGCAGTCACTATGTGACTGCCGTGACCTATGAACTATAAATAAATGAAATTTTGCTTTATTAAATAATGAATTTTGTTAAATTGTAATGTACTTTTTTAACTATTGACGTTTTTAAAGATATAAGCTCATCCCGATGTTACACTCATCAAGAGCTTTCATTTGAGTACCCACATGCATTTTTGATATATTTTTCATATATTCATATATATGATATATATTTTAAAGATATAAGCTCATCCCGATGTTATACTCATTAAGAGCCTTCATTTGAGTACCCATATGCATTTTTAATATATTTTTCATATATATATATATATAAATATATGAAAATTGATGTGGGTACTCAAATGAAAGGTTTCGATGAGTATAATGTCGGGGTGAGCTTATTTCCTTAAAAATGTAAATAATTCGCAAGATACAATGTAATTTCTTAATAATAAACATTTTTTAAGATATAAACTCATTTTGATGTTACACTCATCGAGACCTTTCATTTGAGTACCCACATGGTATTTTTTATATATTTTATATATATATAGTATTTGTGAAATATATAAATATATAAATTATATGAAAAATTGATATGGGTACTCAAATGAAAGGTCTCGATAAGTGTAACATAGAAATGAGCTTATATCTTAAAAAATGTCAATATTTTACAAGATACAATGTAATTTCTTTATTATTGACATTTTTTAAGATATAAACTCATTTCGATGTTAAACTCATCAGGACCTTTCATTTGAGTACCCACATGGCATTTTTGATATATTTTATAGATATATACATATATATAATATATATAAATATATAAAATATATGAAAAATTGATGTTGGTACTCAAATGAAAGCTCTTGATGAGTGTAACATCAGGATGAGCTTATATCTTGAAAAACGTCAATTGTTCCCAAGATACAATGTCATTTCTTAATTATGTATTTCATTTTTGAATGCAACGATTCCAAATTTAACCATAAAAACCCACTGGCCACAAAATTTTACTTATTCTCTTAATAATATAGATTATTTTTTATTTTAATTAAAAAAAAATTGTTTTCAAGTTCATTGAAAAATTCAATTCAATTTTTTTACTACTAATTAATTTCTTATGATCAAAATTAGTCTGCAAAAAAATGTATTAAAAAAAATGTTTTTTTTATCACTAAAAAAAAATAATTAAAGCCAAGTAGTGGAAGAAGATGAGTAGTTCCAATTGAAGAAATAAAAAAGAATGTCTGATATGAAGAGACTCGTAAAGGTAAGTATGCAGAAGATGCTACTCACAGCACTGCTAAAAGTAGGAGTTTAGCGATCGTCCAGGTGACGTCCACGTTTTTATTAAACAAAGCCATGAATTTAATAAAAACCACAGTGTGTGGGTATAAGTATGTCAGTGTTGGTTCCATTTGTTAGTGTAGAAGGCAAAGACAAAATAGGCCGACGACTTTCACCGACAGGTTGGCTCTTGGTGTAGGCTCCTCACTGTATCTCCTCTCTGCAGGTAGAGGTATATCCTCGTCTAACTACAACCAGATATTTACTACAAGACACTAGCTTCTATAGACACCTTACTTACGTACCTTTCCATGTGTTTTTTACTCCCATACTCAGCACTCCTCAAATCCGTGATCCCGGTGGGGACTCCGTTCGAACAAACTGAGACTTCTTCTGAAGACTCTCATCGTGACCACAGACGTTCATGTTCATCACATACCAATAGATTTCCTTTCAATATTATCTTGTGATAGTTTTTTAAAATAATATTACTCGCTTTTAGGAAGATTTTACCGAAGAAAATGTCCAAGTGCTTGTGCCTGAAAATTGAAAAATATTTTTATTAGAATCTGTAACAAGTAATCATGTTATCTAATGAATATTATCGAACTTACATCGTTAATCTTTTATTGATTTTGTGCATCGGCTCTGGTGAGTTTCAGTTTTTATTATCAATTCTGATGATATTGTTTTAGTTTTAAATATTTAAGTGAAAGGTGAAAGCGAGAATAGTTTTTTTATGTTATCCATTCTGTTAAATAATAATATTATATTTATTATTATTTAGAGCTGCAAAAAAATTTTTTTATTTAATTAAAGAAATTTTATTTTTGTAGAAGAAAAAATTTTTATTTTAATTTTTTGTAACTTTATTATTATTATTACTTTAACAAATGTTTAATAATTTTTTTTTTTAATAAATTATAACAAAAAAAGTAAATGAAAAATTGACGGAAAAAATTTGAAAAATTAATTTTTTTTTAAATAATTTTTTGGATAAAATTTGTTGAAAAAAATCAAGTGACTGCTAAATTTATTGTCCTATTTATGTAAAAATTAATTTAGTACATATTTAATAATATAAAGAATTTTTTTTTAATTAATAAACTAAGACAAAAAAAAAATAGAAAAGAATATTGACAAGTAGAAAATTTTAAAAATTAAAATTATAATTTTTTTTGTTAAAAAATGGTCAAGTGACTGCTAACTTTAATGTTATATTTATATAAAAATTATTTTAGTATTTATTTCATAATATTAAGAATTTTTTTAACAAATAAATTATGAAGAAATGCAAAAAATTGAATTTGAAAAAAAAAATTAAAAAATGATCAAGTCTTCAATTTAATTTATCCATAATAAATAAAATTAGGATCAAAATAAATTAATAAAAAAATGATTTTTTAACAATTAAATTATGACAAAAAAAAAAATTGTAGAAATTAAAAAAAAATTTTAAATATAATTTTTTTTAACAAATTTTTTTGTTCAAAAAGTTAAAAAATGGTCAAGTGATTGCTAACTTTAATGTCATATTTATATAAAAATTATTTGATCATGTTAAGAATTTTTTTAACAAATAAATTATGCAAAAAAATTAACAGATAAATGAAAAAAAGCAGAAAATTTAATTAAAAAAAAAAAAATAGTTTGTTTGTTAAAGAAAATTAAAATATGATCAAGTCCTAAATTTAATTTATTCAAAAATAAATTAATAAAAAATTGATTTTTTTTTAAAATATAAATTATGACAAAGAAAATTGATTTAGAAATTAAAAAAAATTAAAAACATAATTTTTTTTAACAAATTTTTTTGTTCAAAAAGTTAAAAAATGGTCAAGTGATTGCTAACTTTAATGTCATATTTATATAAAAATTATTTGATCATGTTAAGAATTTTTTTAACAAATAAATTATGCAAAAAAATTAACAGATAAATGAAAAAAAGCAGAAAATTTAATTAAAAAAAAAAAAAAATAGTTTGTTTGTTAAAGAAAATTAAAATATGATCAAGTCCTAAATTTAATTTATTCAAAAATAAATTAATAAAAAATTGATTTTTTTTTAAAATATAAATTATGACAAAGAAAATTGATTTAGAAATTAAAAAAAATTAAAAACATAATTTTTTTTAACAAATTTTTTTGTTGAAAAATTAAAAAAAAAATTAAGTGACTGTTTACTTTTATATCATATTTATATAAGAATTATTTTAGTATTTATGGAGTAATATTAAGAATTTTTTAACAAATCAATTATAAAAAAAAAAAGCAAAAAATTTAATTTGAAAAAAATAATTTTATGTTAAAAAAAAATAAATAATAATAAAGTCCTAAATTTAATTTATTCATAATAAATAAAATTAGAATAAAAAAATGATTACCTTTTTGATCTAAAAATTGAGGACATTTGAAGTTTTATATAATAAATAAATTTGGATTTGTCCCAAGGCTAAAAAAATCTAAATATAAATTATAAACGTTTCTTCCCAAGTTAAGCATGAGAGTATTAAACAAAGGTAAAAAAGCAACAGACGGTACTTATCTTCTATAAATCTTTGAGTGCAGCGACCGTACTTTACTAAATTACTTTTATTTATTTATGTATTTTTATTTATAATTTCATTGTTTCAATGGTATTACGTGGTCGTGTTTCAGATGGAGGAAGATATGTCGAGAAGCAAAGATATGATGGATGGTACAATAACATTGCGCACCCCGAATGGGGATCAGTTGGTAATAACAACAAAAAAAATTTAGATTCTATTTGTCATTCTTCGACTTATTATTTGATTCGCTTTCCAGACAGCAGATTGATCAGGAAAGGGCCTTCGGCGTACGCAGACGGCGTTTATATGATGGCAGGCCAGGACAGAGCATCGCCGAGAAAGCTGAGCGACTTGTTTATGAAAGGCGATGATGGTATTGCGTCAATTAAAAATAAAACTGCTCTATTTGCATTCTTTGGTAAGATAACAATAGTTTTTTTTCCAGCTGTTACTGTAATTATAATTGTTATTGTAATGTAATAAATAGTTGCTGGTTAGAAAAAATGTTGTGCAAACTTATATACTTTTTGTTTAGGTCAATTGGTTACTGCTGAAATTATAATGGCCAGCGAAAGCGGGTGCCCTATTGAATTCCATCGGATAGAAGTTGAAAAATGCGATTTTATTTTTGATAAAGATTGCCAGGGCAATAAATATATTCCGTTTCTACGGGCTGATTACGATCGCAAAACTGGGCACAGTCCCAATAGTCCTCGCGAACAGGTAAGTTATTATTTACTGTTCCAGATTATTGATAAAAAATTTTTTTTTTGCGCTGATAATATCTGTAAAATTTATTTTAATTATTTTTTTATTGATGATATTGAAGGTAATTGACATTAGAAATTTTTTTATAATTTTATAGATATTAAATTATTATAAAAAAAAAAATTATTAAAAAATTCCACATGTAAAAATTAAAAAAAAATTTTTTGTTGGAATTGATTTTTTAAAAAATTTGACAATTGTCAGCTGACTTCAATATCATTTTTATTAATGACAATGAAGTTAATTGACATTCAAAATTTTTTTATAATTTTATAGCAACTTAATTGTTATAAAAAAAATTTAATAAAAAATGAAAATTAAAGTAGAAGATATTTAACAATTTTTAGAATTTTTTCAAAAAATTAATTAGTGCTAAAAAGTTTGAAAAAAAAAAATTGAGGTGTAGAAATTAAAAAAATTAAAAATGCAATATTTAATAATAATTTTTTGTAACAAATTTGTTTGTAAAATAAAATTAAAAAATATTTAGCTGAAGTTAGCAGATATTATTTGTCAATTTTGAGAATATTTATTATTAAAAAAAATTATTACAAAAAAAGTCAAAAAAAATTTCACAAGTTAGAAAATTTAAATTATCACAAAAGTAAGACACTTAAGTAAGCTGACATAAGAAATTTTTTTATAATTTTATAACAATTAAATATGACAATTAAGTTAGCCATTTAAAAATTTTTTTTTATTGAAAAAATGATAAAAAAAAAAAATTTCACTTGTAAAAAACTTTAAAAGCTGTAAGTGCAATTTAAAAAAATTTTTTTTTGTTCTAATTTAGTTATAAAAAAATTAAAAACGTTGACTAACTTTAATATTATCAATTAAATTATTTAAAAAAAAAATGCATTTTTAATTTTTTCAAATTTTTAAGTCAATTTTTTTTTTCTATTTTTTTGCTATAATTTTTTTTTTATAAAATTTCTTAAAATTATCAAACATCTGCTAAATTAATTTTCATTAAGAAAATTCTACATCTAAAAATTATAAGTGATAATTTTTTAATGATTCTTTTGTAGTAATTAATTGAAAACAAAAATTGACAGCTACCTTCAGTATAATTTTAATTATTATATTACTTAACTTTTAATTAAAAAAAAAAATTATTAACTTACGACATTTAAAAGCCAAGTAATTAAATAAAACAATCTCCTAGAAAGTTTCTTCCCATTTGTAAGTTCCTAGAACCTTTCTGATTCTAGATTAACAAAGTGACATCGTGGATAGATGGCAGCTTTGTTTACTCCAGCAGTGAAGCTTGGGCGAATACAATGCGAACTTTTAAAAACGGGAGTTTCGTAACCGAACCAATGGGACAGTTCCCAGTTCGGAATACGATGCGAGCGCCATTGTTCAACAATGCAGCGCCCAGTGTAATGAGAATGTTAAATCCAGAACGTCTTTACTGTGAGTATCATTAAAAATTACTTTAATCAATTAATAAATTAATTAAGAATAAAAATAATTAAAGTCAGATTAATAAAGTGAAAACTTTTTTCAAGTACTAGGAGATCCGCGAACAAATCAACATCCAGCCTTGTTAACCTTCGGAATAATTTTCTACCGGTGGCACAATGTCATTGCCGGTCGTGTCCAGCGGGAAAATCCATTTATGTCTGACGAAGATATTTTCCAACGCACACGTCGAATAGTTGTAGGAACAATCCAGGTACTTAATAACTCAATTGCACACTCAATACTGAGCTACTAGACTGGAACTAGATCATTATTGCTTAATGTTTTCTGTCTCGCGCTTTGCTCATGTTTTTTTAATGCGCGTTAAATTATTTATTTATCTATTTATTTAATTATTTATTTATTTATTTATTCTAGAACATTATTATGTACGAGTACTTGCCGGCGCTATTAGGAGAAATATTGCCAGATTACCAGGGCTACAAGCCAGACATACATCCTGGTATCAGTCACATGTTCCAGAGCGCGGCATTTCGTTTTGGACATACCCTCATACCACCTGGAATTTATCGGCGCGATGATAAGTGTAACTTTCTAATGACCCGTACAGGAAAACCGGCAATAAGATTGTGCAGTACTTGGTGGGATTCTAATGTAAGTATAATTATCTATATAATTAAGAGAAATTTTGTCTAGTATTTATATGATAAAATGAGTTTTTTAAATTAAATTTAGGATCATTAGAAAGAAGATCTGAATTTGTGCCTTTTAAATGTTTCATTTCCTTTTCTAAAATTGTTAATTTATTATGATAAGTTTTCCAAGTAGTTATAAATAGATTAGAATTTCGCGATAAACAAAATTTATTTATTTTATTTTGTTTTGTACAAGTCAATGTGGTTGTATGTCAAAAATTAATTTATATAATTAAGAGACTAAGAAAAATTTTTAACGGGTATATCTTTATCGTAAATTGGGTTTGATATTTTTTCAGCGATAGTCATTTATGATTTAAATAATTGAGAGAGTTAGGAAAATTTTGTGACGAGCGTATTATTATTTTTAAAGGAATTTTTATAGTTTAATTTGGTATCATCAGAAAGGTCGAGATAAGAATTAGTGCCTTTTGGTTTTATATATTTTTTAGTAGTCAATTTTTTATGTCAAGTTTTTGGAGGAGTTTTTAATAGTTTGTTGGTTCTATAAATTTGTTCCGTCACATTTGTCCATTAAATTATTAGTAATTGATCCTGTGATAGCACTATTATTTTTAAAATTTATTTAAAAAATACCCGAACTATGTACAGTGTCATAAATATCAAAAAATCATTAAGCCAAAATTTTCTTATTGATAATCCGTAAATCTCGGAAGTCAAATAGTGACTGCAGGTTGCTAGTTATATGACACTGAAGTTGATAGACATTAGAAATTTTTTTAGAATTTTATAACTGAAGTTATGAAAAAAATTTATGATAGTTAAATTGAGAGACATTTGATAATTTTTAGAAATTTTTTAACTAATAAATTATGGCAAGAAAAATGTATTTAAAAAATTCCATCTTTAGGTGATCTGAAAAATTCTAAGTGCAATTTTGTAAAAATCATTTTCTAGACCTAGTTTATTGTTCAAAAAAACTACCCAAACTATGTATAGTGTCATAAATATCAAAAAATCATTAAATTAAAATTTTCTTATTTATAATCTGTAAATCTCAGAAGTCACATATAGTAATTACATTAATCACATAATAATTAAATTATGACACTGAAATTTATTGACATTAAAAATTGTTTTATAATTTTTTTAGCCATGAATTATAAAAAAAAATTTTTCTAAAATTTTTAGAAGCAGCTTTTTAATTGTAATTGACTGCAAGTTGCTAGTTTATCTTATTTATAATCAATTATTATTTATTACTTATTACTGATACTTATACCAATAAAAAATAATAACTGATGATTGATAATTTATAATAATTCAATGTTAATACAGGAAGTTGTTTCCAATAATACAATAGAAGAACTAATAATGGGTATGGCATCCCAATTAGCCGAACGAGAAGACAATTTACTGAGTGATGATATCAGAAATAATTTATTTGGCCCAATGGAATTTTCACGGCGCGACCTTGGTGCACTCAATATCATGCGAGGACGTGACAACGGGCTACCTGATTACAATACGGCACGTACTTACTTCAATTTACCTAGAAAGACTACCTGGAATGATATAAACCCCGAGTTATTTGCCAAACGCCCGGATTTGTTGCGAGAATTAATTGAAATTCACGGCAACAACCTCAACAACATTGACGTCTACGTCGGCGGGATGCTAGAGTCCATTGACGGGCCTGGGGAGCTATTTTCTACGGTTATTAAAGAGCAATTTATACGCCTACGTGACTCGGATCGTTTTTGGTTCGAGAATCAAGACTCTGGGTAAGTTGAGAAGGTCGTCAGGAATAAATTTACTTTATTCCTGTTATGTTAGCTCCATTCGTCAGGCAACTTAACGCTGATTAATCTTACCGGGTATTTTTATTCACCGGAAAGTTTCTGAATCATTTACGGTTAAAAATTTTTTTTTTGTAATTTAATTTTATTGTAAATTTATTTGAAATTTTCAATGAATTTTTTCTTAAAATTGTCTCTTCAAAGCTGATGAGAAAAATTTATCAAAAAAACCCGGGCTCTAATTTTTATTCAATTTTTTTAATTATATTTTTCAGTAATTGATCCAAGGATTAATCTTTCTATTTTTATAAACAGTTTAGACTCAAATTTTAATCGGAAATCGATCATTTGTTTTTGATATATTTTTTCTTTAAATTGTTTACTTTTTATATGTATTTTTCAAAAAAAAATCTATCAATAAAATCAATTAGAAATTTCGTTCAAAAAAATTGAAATTAAACCCCACTTATAAATATTTATCAAATTAATCAAAACTTTTTTTATATAAAATTTAATTTTATACAAAAAAAAAAATTTCTTATAATTTTTTATTATTAATTCTTCTCTGCTCAATAATGAATTATTAATTAATGTAAATTTTTTTCCTCAGAACAAGTTTAAAATTTTTTTTTAAGTATTTTTTTTTTCTCAGAAAAAAAAAAATCTTTTAAAAAAAATAATAATAAATATTTTTTAAAAAATATTTATTATTATTTAAAAAATTAAATTAATATTTACCAATAATTTTTTTTTTCAATTAGAGTATTTACAAAGAGCGAAATAGAAGAAATCCGTCGAGTAACTCTCTGGGACGTAATAGCAAACACAACAACAATAGACCCTTCGGCAATCCAGCGGAACGTGTTTGTTTGGACGGAAGAAGATCCTTGCCCACAACCGGAGCAATTAAAGGGCTCGATGCTGGACTCTTGCGTTCCGCTTCAAAGATACGATTACTTCATAGGAAGCGAGTTGGTGTACATCTACGTCTGCGTGTTCATAGCATTCATCCCGATACTATGTGCCGGGGCCGGGTACGGCGTGGTAAAACTTCAGAATCGGCGACGGAGAAGACTGAAGATTGTCCAGGAGTCGATCAAGCGACGCAGTGGTCGCACAGGGTGCATTGCTGCTTCCCTATACGGAAACGGACGGATCGACAAGATGATTGTCAGAGAATGGCTTCATGCAAATCACAAGCGGCTTGTTAAAGTTAAATTCGGTCCTGAAGCTGCGCTGTATATTGAGGACCGCAAAGGCGACAATTTGAGGACGTTTGATTTCAACTCGGTCAATGTTGTCGCCGTTGAGGAGTCTCAGGTAGTTAAATAAATTTTTATATTCAAATATTTTAATTTGAAGATGATACTGGTTTAAATTTAAGGAGATCCACGTGAAGTAGTTAAATTTTATTAGTCAATTAAATGTTAATAATTATTTAATGAGTAAATTTATCGGAAATTTCCTCAAAAATGTTATTAATTAATTTTAATTTATTTTTTTATAGACATTATTTACACTAGGAAAGTACTTGGAACTCCTTAATAAAAAATAAAATAAATTGGATCAAAAATTAGTTTTAAAAAATTCCACTAGGTGGCTACGGCTCTCATAGTTAGAATTTTGAAATCTGAGTATTTAAGGAGATCCATGCGAAGTAGTCAAATTTTTAAAACTTCCTGAAAATTTGTAAATTCAATCTACGTAGCCTACTAATTAATAAAAAAATTAAAGTACAGTAGGTTTCCGGATATTTAATTAAATAATTAGGTTTGAAAATTGTAATTTTTACATGTAGGTAAATGTTAAAAATTAAATATTTTAAATGTTAACAATTATTTAATGAGTAAATTTTTAGGATATGTTATGAATTAATTTAAAAATTAATTTTAAGATGCATAACAAAAGTATTTCTACGTATTATTTTTTTATAGACATTCTTTACACTAGGATGGTACTTGGATCTCCTTAATCATAATCTTTGGAACAAATACAAAAAAATTTGGGGTCAAGTTTAAGTCACCTGGCTACCAAACTACCTTAATTGAATAAAGTAAAATATTTTTAAGATTAATAAGTAAAATATTAAATGCTGACTCATGAGTAGTTTTCGTCACATCTAGGAATGTGAGAGCGGTAACGGAAAGGCTTTGGTACTGTTGCGTATTCCTCGAGACTACGACCTTGTCCTTGAACTAGATTCTCTCAATGATCGTGGAAAGTTTATATCTAAACTTGAAGCGCTACTTGGTATCCATAAGAAACATCTCACTATTGTCCACACCAACCGCGACATAATGCTCGCCAAGGCCGAGACCAAGGAGCGACGCCAGAAGAAACTCGAGCAGTTTTTCCGGGAAGCATATGCTCTTACTTTCGGATTGAGACCTGGAGAAAAGCGACGTCGTAGGAGTCAGGATACTGATGATGGTGAAGTTGTTACTGTTATGAGAACTTCGTTGTCGAAAAGCGAATTTGCAAGCGCTCTTGGAATGCGACCGGATGCGGTGTTTGTTAAAAAAATGTTTAACATCGTCGACAAAGATAAAGACGGACGGATTTCTTTTCAGGTATTTTATATTTATATTTACTTTTTTATTAACAGATTGATGTGAAAGCGAGGTAAATATTTAAAGAGGTTTAGACATCAGTACGTTGCCCTGATTGTAATCTTAAAAATTTATTTTTTGTAAATTTAGTATCAGTGATGCTTTTTTATAGTTTTAATTTATAAACTATAATACTTTTGTTTAGAAAATGCATAATAATCTATGTTAATAAGAGAATAAGAAAAATTTTGTCTCCAAGATAGTCGGATAAAATTAAAAGGTCATTAAAAAGGTCTAGGCTTGAATTTGTACCTTTTCAAGGTTTCATATAACTCTAATCGTCAATTTATAAAAAGTATTTAGGCTGCATTCAAAAATGCTCTATTTTTAGATACATAACTAAGAAATCAGCTTGTATCTTGAGAACTATTGACATTTTTTAAGATATAAGCTCATACCGATGTTACACTCATCAAGACCTTTTATTTGAGTACCCACATCAATTTTTTATATATTTTATATATTTATATATTTCACAAATACCATATACATAAAAAATATATAAAAAATGCCATGTGGGTATTTAAATGAAAGGTCTCGATGAGTGTAACATCAAAATGTGTTTATATCTTAAAAAATGGCAATAATTAAGAAATGACCTTGTATCTTGTGAACTATTGACACTTTTTAAAATATAAGCTCATCCCGATGTTACACTCATCGAGACCTTTCATATGAGCACCCACATCAATTTTTCATATATTTATATATATTATATATATGTATATATGAAAAATATATAAAAAATGCATGTGGGTGTTCAAATGAAAGCTCTTGTTGAATGTAATATCGACATGAGCTTATATTTTTAAAGATATTTTTTATATCTTTAAAAGCGTCAATAGTTAAAAAAAGTACAGTGCAATTTAACAAAAGTCATTATTTAATAAAGCAAAATTTTATTTATTATTTTAGGAATTTCTGGATACTGTACTTCTATTTTCACGTGGCAAAACCGAAGATAAACTGCGTATTATTTTTGAAATGTGTGACAAAGATAGTGACGGAGTGATTGACAAAGAAGAGCTGTCTGAAATGTTGAGATCATTAGTTGAAATTGCACGGACTACTAGTTTGTCTGATGATCATGTCACTGAATTGATTGACGGAATGTTTCAAGTAATTGATTTATTTTAATTTTTATCAAAATACTCTAGAAAATTAAATTCCTTTTCTTTATTTTAATTAATTAATATTGATCATCATTAAAATTTTTATTTAAATTATTAATCATAAATTTTAATTATTAATTATTATTTAAATAAATTAATTCATTGGATTTTTATTAATAAAATTGATGGAAATAAAGTTAGCCGACATCTAACAATTTTTATGATTTTTTTTATTAAATAATTATTGCAAAAATTTTTTTTATTTGTTAAAAACTTCAAAACTATAAGTGCAATTAAAAAAAAATTTTTTTTTAGTTATAATTTAATAAATTAAGCAAAAAAAAAAAATTAAAAAATTCCGGTTAACTTTATTATTAATTATTATATAAAATTGGGCTTTAAAATAAAAGATCATTAACCAAAATAGTATAAATGTTGACGATGAAATACATATCGAGTGTCGTAGGGTGCCGGACTGGAAAGCAAGGAGAGCCTGAACTACAACGACTTCAAGTTGATGATGAACGAGTACAAGGTTGATTTCGTAGCAATTGGATTAGATTGCAAGGGAGCTAAACAAAATTTTCTAGACACCTCAACAAACGTAGCACGTATGACAAGTTTCCACATTGAGCAACTGCCTTCGGAGGCTTCTAAATGCTGGATAAGAAAGCAGTGGGACGGAGTGTCCACTTTCCTCGAAGAGAATCGTCAAAATATTTTCTACTTGTTTATCTTTTACGTCATTACTATCGCCCTCTTCGTCGAGAGATTTATACGTAAGTAGTCTTTAAATAGCTTCTCTTCTAGGCACATGTGATACCAATAGTACGCTAATAATAATAATAATAATAATAATAAATAATAATAAAATATGTTGATATTAAATTTCCTCAGATTACTCGTTTATGACCGAGCACACGGACCTCAGACACATTATGGGCGTGGGTATAGCAATAACCCGGGGCTCAGCAGCCGCCCTGTCGTTTTGCTACAGCCTTCTTCTACTAACGATGTCACGAAATCTTCTAACGAAGCTAAAAGAATTCTCGATCCAACAATATATACCGTTAGACTCTCATATCCAGTTCCACAAAATTGCTGCCTGCACGGCACTCTTTTTCTCCGTGCTACATACTGTGGGACACGTAGTCAACTTCTACCACGTGTCTACCCAGCCTATTTCGCATCTTCGTTGTTTGACGAGTGAGATGAGCTTCCCAAGTGATGCTCGGCCCACTATTTCCTTCTGGCTCTTCCAGACAATTACCGGTATTATAATTTAATCTATTATATTTACACTGAGAAAAAAAAATCTAAGGATTTTTTATTGACATTCAAATTTATGAGACATTAGAAATTTTTATAGCAATTAAATTATTATTAGAAAATTTCACGTGAAAATTGAAAAAATTTCCAATTTTTTTTTGTCTGAAAAATTATTCCAATTGATTAAAATAATTTTTATGATATTGACACTGAAATTGATGACTGACATTAGAAATTTTTATGGCAATTAGATTATTATTCAAACAATTTAATTAAAAAATTTCACATGTGAAAATTTAAAAAAAAAAAATAATTAGAAGCATTTTTTTTTTTCATTAAAATTGATTTTTTTATAAAAATTTTAGTAAAGAAATCTTCTAAGATTTTTTTATTGACACTAAAATTTATGACAGACATTAGAAATTTTTATAGCAATTAAATTATTATTAAAAAATTAATATTTAAGTTCTCGTCCAGATTTAAAATATTTAAATAATTAAATCTTGAGAATTTGGACAATAAATAAGGATTTATTGTCCAAATTCCCAAGATTTAGTCATTTAAATTATTAAAAATATTTAATTAAAAAATTTCACATGTAAAAATTAAAAAGAAAATTTTAAAAGCATTTTTTTTTTTTATAAAAATTGATTTTTTTTTTAATTAAAAAAATTTACTGTTAATTGCAGTATTATAAAAATGCAAATGACTGTTCTAAAAATAATTTTTATTTTATATAAATGAAGCTATTAGTATTTTTATTTAAAATAATTAAAATAAATATTGATTTATATTTGTTTCAAAAAATTGATATATTAAATTTAAAAAAATTCTTGAGTGAAGAATTTTTTTTCTCAGTTTAAAATTAATATATAATTAAGCAAAAAAAAAATTTTTTTTACTTGAATAATCACCGAGCTACTGATAGTTAATACTATATACAAGTCAATGCCAGCTTAACAATCCTATACCATTAGTATTACAAACAATTACTATTGTTCAGATAAAATATCCATCAACTCCTATCTCTCAATGACTAATTGTCGGCTTTTTAAATTTAGGTGTCACTGGCATCCTGCTAGTCGTTGTAATGACGATAATCTTCGTGTTTGCTCATCCGACAATCAGACAAAAGGCTTATAAGTTTTTTTGGTCGACCCACAGCCTCTATATTTTATTATACGCGCTGTGCCTGATTCACGGATTGGCAAGGCTGACAGGCGCTCCAAGATTCTGGATTTTCTTTGTCGGTCCAGCAATTATTTACTCTCTGGACAAAGTAATTTTTTTTTTTAATTCTAATTATAAGTAAATTGTAAATAGAATTTACTGTAAAAATAATTCCAGATGGTCAGTCTGCGCACCAAATACATGGCGCTAGACATTATCGAGACAGAATTGTTGCCCTCAGACGTGATAAAAATAAAATTCTACCGTCCGCCAAATTTAAAGTACCTATCTGGCCAGTGGGTACGTCTAGCGTGCTCGGTCTTCAGGTCTAACGAGTTTCACTCGTTCACATTGACCTCTGCGCCACATGAGAACTTTCTCTCATGCCATATAAAGGCCCAGGGTCCATGGACATGGAAGCTTAGAAATTATTTCGACCCGTGTAACTACAATCCGGAAGACCAGCATCCGAAGATAAGGATCGAAGGCCCCTTTGGCGGAGGCAATCAAGATTGGTACAAATTTGAAGTCGCAGTTATGGTAGGCGGCGGAATCGGTGTTACGCCTTACGCTTCTATGCTTAACGACCTTGTTTTCGGTACCTCTACCAACAGATACTCCGGTGTCGCTTGTAAAAAGGTAATAAATATCACTTTATTTATATGATATTGAATTTAACAGACATCTAACAATTTTTTTAATTTTTATAACAATTAAAAGCCCCAATTATTGACAGGGGTCTAAATATTGACACCCTAAATTATTTTTAAATATATTCAATCATCTGTAATAAGAATAACTATCATATAAATTTTTATTAAATTTTAATTAATTAAAAAATTGAAAAAAATTACTGTCAGTTAATATTAAATATTAATTATTAAAAAATAAAGTTAGCACCAGTTAAAACCAGCTTACGAACGTTTATTTTCTTAACAACTTTGATTAGAAAAGCATTTTTTTTTAAATGTCGAGTTTAAATTAATTTCTCCATCTAATAATATCATCTTTTTTTTTTTAATTAACAATATATGAAAAATTTATAAAATTGAATAATCGAAATTAATTGTATGCTTTATAATATT